CTCAGAGTAAGGACTCCAAAGCACTTTACACTATAGTGTATCATTCATCCATTCACACACACATTCATACACTGATGGTGATGAGCTACGATGTAGCCACAGCTGCCCTGGGGCGCACTGACAGAGGCGAGGCTGCCGAGCACAGGCACCACCGGTCCCTCCGACCACCACCAGCAGGCAAGGTGGGTTAAGTGTCTTGCCCAAAGACACAACAGATGTCTTGAAAGGACACAACAGCAGATTTCTCTGTCCGGAGCCGGGATCGAACCTGCAACCTTCTGATTACTGGACAACCCGCTCAACCTGCTGAGGGTTGCTGCCCCTTAATAACTGACGCCCTCTCTTGCTTCTATTTTTGTTGGTGGTTCATCTGGCCCAGCTTCCTTGTGCTCCACATTGCCTCTTTTGTAGGGCTTTAGGTGAGTGATGCTGTGCTTTGTTTTCAAGTGTTTCCCTGTCATAGTTGTCAGCACAGCAGTCTTGCCCAAGAGTTGCTGGATTGTGTATGGGCCAGATTAGTCACACTCCATCCTGGCTCCTTTTCTACTTCTTTTTCTTACATTGTACAACAGCACCTCATCCCCTTCTTTGAATGTAAAATTTTTGTTCGCCCTATTTGCATATGCTTCCTTCATTTTCTGTTGAGCCACTTCCACATTTTCGTTTACCTTCTCATCTCGGTCCTTTTGTACTTTTTCTTGCTCATTTACATATTCGCTGTATTCCATTGGGAGGATAATAGATGACAGCTACATTGCAAAAACAGATAATGTTTTTGCAATGCAAATGTTACACATTTAGACACTGTCGTAAAAACATTACTGTCAAAAGATTCTACGTCTGAAAATGATTAGAAGTATTCACAAAATCAGCATGTATATTAATATGTTAGTACAAAGGAAGATTCCAACATAACTCATGACAGGCAGACTCTTACCGGCATTTCAACTGGAAGTTCACATGGGAACCTTGCCTCTCTTCCATTTATTAGGTAGAATGGTGAGAATGTTGTTGTGGTGGGCATTTTGGACCTCAGTGAAAACAAAGTGGCATCTAGATACAGATCCCAATCATCCTGCCTTTCATTAACAACTTTTTCTGAGGACCCTAGAAAAAAGAGTTTCATGCTTCAATAAGGACAACTTGAATTTTCAGTACATCTTTGAAATACTTATTCTCATTTTATAGAGCCACAAAGCCATAGATGAATGAATATATACAAATTATTTTAACTCAGTGAAGTCTGAGACCAAACTTTACAAAGTAGAAATACAGGACATGTTAAGCAATTGTCAAAAGATGTTAAAACAAGACACTGCTGTAATAGTTTTCTCACCGTTTAATGTTGTCATTTGTTTTTCATCCAATCCATTTGTCTGTGGGTGAAATTCTGCTGTCACACTCCTCTCAACTGAAAGGAGCTCACATAGTTTGCTGTTGATCTAAAAGAACAATGAGGCACATTATAATTAGTTGTTTTACAGATTTGACTTTTAGGCCAAATAGAAATTTATATTAAACATAACTTACTTGATTCACAAACTCTCGCCCTTGGTCTGTAAGTATGCGCAGAGGACAGCCGTGCCAATAAAAAAGTGTGCATAAATTTTGGGAGACTTCCTCTGCAGACTTGGTTTTCACCCACTTTGTAAAATAATCCATGGCTTTCAATATATACTTGTAGCCAGAAGGTGTCTGGGGAAGCGGGCCTGTCAGATCCATTCCGACCAGCTCCCACACACCAGATACCTGTTGGTGATAGATTAAATGTTTATGAACAGAAGTAACGTAGAAGTAATAAACTAACAGAATTACAATGGACAGTCACCTTGATGCAATCCAGTGTTTCGACTACCTTCAGTGGAGGTCCAACTCTTTGGCAATGGTCACATTCAGACGGCTAGAAAATGTATTTTGTTTTATGAAAATTATAAATATTGTATATTAGAGATTGCTAACAATGAGGTAACATACCCATTTCTCAATGTCTGCAGTCATACCATGCCAATAAAATTTAGAACACACTGATTTGCGAGTTTTCTCAATGCCACTGTGTCCTCCCATTTCTGAAGTATGGATTTCTTTAAAGTTGGTCCAAGCCTCCTCTTTTGATTTAATGGCTTTTCGCCTAGGCAAGGGTCTCAAGAATAGACCCCCAGCTTTATTGAAAGAATTTACACATTAGCCATATGGCGTATTATAAGAAAATGTGGTGTATGCTCAAATCTTGACAACTTAACATGAGTGCTGAATTTAGAGGCATATTTCCTTAGGGTTTGCCTTTGTCCTTTGGTGTAGTGCAGCAGATAGGAACCCTTGGTAAGGAGATTAAATATCTCATCCCATCTGCCTTCCATTTTACTGTAAAAAAATGTAAACAAGGAAGTAATTTGAAAATTAAAACTTCTGATTTAAAAAAAAATTATACAGTCAATTATGTTCATATACACTCAATACAACCACATGTTGAGGAAGTAAATAATTATAAATATGATGAGGCAGCTTTCTAACAATTCTTTACTTCTAACACGTTTCTTATCCCAAGACTCAAGACATTTATTTGCCATTTGCACACGGATCAACAGTCCCTGCACATTGGAATTCTTGTGCAGAGCTCTCTGGGTCAGGTAAAAAAAAATAAAATAAAAAAGATAAATAGGTTAAAAAAACATGTATATAAACTAAGCTATCATAATATATTGTTCACTGTTGTGTGAGTATTTCAATGTTTGTGTTTTGCCGTCATTCTGACAGTTGCAGGGAAGAAACTGTTGAAAAATCTTGTTATATGTGTGATGATACTATCTGCTCTATTATTTCTAAGGTTGTATGTGCAGTTTTTGTGTCTACGCAGACAGTGAGCTGGGTGATGCAAATCCTTAATAATTCTCTCTGCTCTTTTTTGGCAGTGTTGTATGTGCACATAGTCCATGGAAGGAAGTTTTATTCCTATGATCCTCTCTGCAGACTTTATGACTCTTTGTAGAGCTTTCCTCTCTGTCTGTGTGGTACTTCCATACTTATCTTATACCATTCTTATCTGTGTGCTTCCTTACAAAATTATGATTTATGGGCAGATAAAGAAAAGAAATATGGTTTTTAACATGTTTCATTTGAACAGAGACAAATCTTTTTATGTGTTGGTTTATGTCTAAATATTTTTCTGCTTCCTGATTTGTAATTTTGAATCACATTCCTGCGTTTTTAAACAAATAGCAAAATAGTTTAAGCAAACAGAAAAAAATTATATAAAAAAACTCACTAAAATGGTAGTCAAACATGTTCAAATAAAACTAGTCAGAAACGTCAATTATTTCATCATATTTCCAGTCGAAAACAAAACTTTTTCAGGAGGAACACGGAATTAGAAGCGTGTTCATATTATGATCTATTAAAATAGCCCTTTTTGTCTTTAAAATGCTGACTTTAGTTTCCTCAAGGACTGTATAATTGTTCGTCTTGTATTGTTTTTTTTACTTCTTGTTACTATTAATATGTTTCATAGCCAATTACATGACGTTCAGGCATCAACGTTTAGTTGTTTCATCAGCGATTACATTACGTACAGAAATTGGCAGTCAAATAAATGCACTGCACACTGAAAACTGTGAATAAAGTGCAAAATATATCAATGAATTTGTTAACATTAAAAAATATAAATGAATTACTTACTTTTACTTGTAGTTTCTGTTTTTCGTAGATCTTTTCTAGTCCGTATGCGTAACTGACGGTTCTGTAGAACGTGCCAGAGTTGTTGAGTAATGCGCATGCGCGCACATGCGCATTATCTCCAAGTATGCTCCGCTGACAAGTATGGTGTTCTGATACAACACCAGCGCTCCCGCCAGCCTTAAAGGGTTAACATGTTAAGTGGTACTGGAAATGCTAATAACATTTAATTTCTACTACTAAAAATGGAATGATTACATATCTGTTACGTACAGGTTAGCAATAATCTGTTAAAAATTATGTTTGAAGGTTGACTTGTTTGTGAATTAAATGCTACAGTGGCTTGCCAAATTCCTGCTGGGTTGTGTTGAGCACACTCGAAGCAGCAACTCGACGTCTGCGGTATTGCTGCACAGCGCTGCAGACAGCTAAGAATAAACAGGATGATGGGGACTTTTCTTCCCTTGTAGTTTAGCTATTCGTGGTTTCACAACCATCATGTTTTTCAGAACCCCACTTGATCTTAAGCCTGCTACCCGCTAGCATTAGCTAATCTACCTGTAGTTGCACTTTTGATCCCAAACTTCGGACCGTCTCTGCCTTTGTGTCTTTACTGGTTTCTCTGTTTTACTCCACACCACCTAAAGTAGAACACTGTGCGCCAGTAAAAGGCATCTTCCTTACACAATAACTAGCAACTTACCTTGGTTCAATAAAGTTCTGGGGAAAAGTGACTTGAAAAGATGTCGCACGAGTGCTACGTCTAAAAATATTTTTTTTCATCACACGTGCGACATGTCGCACTGTACAGCCCTGAGTTTCTGAAATGTGAGTGTGTCTGTGTATGCATGTGTATGTCTGTGAGTACACATGCGTTTGTGTTTGCGCGCATGTGTACGTACACATGGGTACATATGTACTTGTCTTTATATGTTTACGTGTTTACAGTTTTTGAATTTAACCTGTAACGTGTGGACATTTCCACTTTGTGGGGACATTTTTCTGGTCCACACAATGTTAAGCACCCTAAAACTTGGTGTGATTTAGCTTTTTGTTTAGGTTAGTTTAAGGTTAAGGTTAGGAATAGATCCCCATTGGTTATGGTTAGAGTTAGGGTTAGGCATAATGGAGTCACTAAAATGAATGGAAGTCAATGGAATCCACACAAATATAAATACAAGTGCATGTGCGTGCGTGCATGCATGCATGCGTGCGTGTGTGTGTGTATATTTGGGCAGAAATGATGTCTGAGCTGATACTCACCTTCATAACCTCTCACACAGGTGAATTAGGAACATGACTGTAATAACCTCTAACTATTTGTTTCTTAGGTACCATGATAAAACATCTGCAGTCTGCTAATGCTTGTCGAAGCTTCTCTGAATTCCGCCAGGAGGCCAGCATGTTGCATTCTCTGCACCATCCTTGCATCGTCTCTTTGGTGGGCATCAGCATTCATCCACTGTGCTTTGCTCTGCAATTAGCCCCTCTGGGTAGTCTCAACACTGTGCTAGAGGAGAAGCGCAAAGACAAAAGTATGTTCAACCATCTAAGTTTTGTGCTTACTATCTTTAAGACACATCTAAAGTCAGTCTCTGGACTGCTAGATGATGATGCAATTCTGTTTTTTCTACAGGCTCTGCATACATGCCTCTCGGTCACATGCTCACCTTTAAGGTAGCTTACCAGATAGCCATGGGGCTGGCCTATCTTCACAGAAAGAATATTATCTTCTGTGACCTTAAATCTGACAACATCCTAGTGTGGTCTCTAGAGGTATGTTGAAAGATTCCCATAAATTTATAATCCAGACCTCATTTCATACGTTAGAAAAGCCATTTCATTTATATTGTGGTCATTATAATAATTTCATTTCAAAAATGAAAATCTTGAGAAATTGCTTGATTTTTTTATTTATTTTTTGTCATGCTTTTTTTTAGGAATATACACAACATAACACTAAACATTTTACACTTATTGGCAATCTTTCTGCTTGTATTATAATAGTAACTCACAAGCATTCCCACCCCTTCCCCAGTGCCCACCAGTCAGAAAGTAGTCTGTCAAGGTTATTTAAGTCCACACAAGATGCTAAGTTGCATTATTAATCCTTGCTAATGATGGTGTGAAAGTGCTTGATTCTAAAGAAGACACAGTTACATTGTTTGCATCGTTCTTTCAGGTGCAGGATCTAGTCAACGTTAAATTGTCTGACTATGGCATTTCTCGACACTCCTTCCGTGAAGGGGCTTTAGGAGTCGAGGGCACTCCAGGTTACCAGGCTCCTGAAGTCCGACCAGGAATTGTATATGATGAAAAGGTACAGCTGCTCTATTCCTAACCCATCCAAGCCATAACTGTAACTTTATGAATGTCATTTTTTTGTTGGGATTGTTCTGCACAACATAGTACATGCCTGATTCTGTCTGATATGAAGTGGGCAAGCCAAAGGCCTGGATCCAAGGATTCAAAACCCTTTTAGATAATATCATGAAAATCTTCTTGTTTTACCAAACTCTTAAGAATCATTGATTCAAGGCTGTTAAAGTATGAAAATTCTTATTTTTCAAATGGTTAACTAACAAAATGTGTTGTATATAGGCTGTTATATTTGGTATGTATTTATAAAACATTACGGCAATGTGCACATTACAACACTGAACTTTGCCACCATTTGTAACAGTGGTAATCCAAAACAGCACCTGCAGGGGCATGTGTGGCCAGATTATTTTCTATTGTAAAATCACGATCACAATTTTTTCTACTTTTTATTTTTTCTATTTTGACTGGACAGCTGACTGATTGGACTGGACAGCTGATTGGACCGCTGATTGACAAAACTGGAAAATTGACAGACTGAACTGAACTGATAGCTGAATGGGTTATGTAGATGCCTATCTGGGCTGGGGGACTGACAGAGTAGAGAGGAAAGCTAGTTAGGTTGAAAGGAATCCTGACTGACTGGAGTGGACAGTTTGACTGAGTAGACCGGCTAACTGGACTAGACAGGTTGGGCCAGACGGGACTGGACAGGACCGAAAAAATAAAAAATTGGCCTGGAGCCGGATTGGACGGAAATGGACTGGACGGAATCGGACTCGACAGAATTGGACCGAGGAACTTCATCAATTGTCAATAAGCCCTCCCCTAAATAGGGGAGGTGGGCTTAGATTTCACCTTTCCAGTACCTATAATGCAGCTTTAAATTTAATTCCTAAGCAATCTCAGTCTAGGTTACACCTTCCTGCATCTAATCAACACAACGACTCCCCCTCAAAAGAGGGTAACAACTCATCAAGGGATGGAGACGTGGGGTACCCAGAGTAGTTTCTGCTCATTAAATAATAACAGGCAGCTACAGCTTATAAGCTTGACTCTCCCATATTCCAGTCAGAATTGACAAAGCTCCTTGGATGAGAAGCGAAACGTCTTCAAGAAACCAAAGAAATTCAGTTGCCTTCATTTGAACCCTTTAAAATTAGCATGACATTTCTGTTACTACAATAAATTCATCATATGGTATGTTTTCTGGCAATATTGTAAAGTTTAATCTTTTTTTTTTTTGTATATTTTCTTCTGCTTCTGTTAGTTTGGATTAGTTTGGGTTACATACATAGAAGTTTTGTCTTTTTCTTTCTCTTGTTGATGAGTTTGGTTATCTTCTCCATATGCCTTTGTTTCACTTTCTTGACTTATTTTTCCTGATGTTCCATCATATGTTCATTTATTTGTTCCTCAGTTTTTTTTTATGTAACTTGTAAGTATTTTTGAGCTCCAGGTAGCCTTTTTCCAGTTCTCTTTCCACTTGCTTCTGTTTTGCTACGATATTCCTTATCCTTTCTTTGAGTAGTGCTTTCTTGGCTCTTTCCATAACATGTTTGCTGTTTAAGGGTTTAATTTACATCTATTTAATGAACCATAAGACATGAGATGCCACAGTAAATATGAAATCGATCTTATGGATCTTTGGGTACTTTTAATCAGAAGATTGGAACTTTTTATTGCAGGGATTATGTAACACTTTGTATTAACTCAGAGACAACAGAAGATAAAGTCACCTTTAAAACGTTTAAGAAGATTTATTTCTAAACAAATTTAAACAAGACTAACCCTAAACTCTAAGTGATGAATGGATCTTGGTGTGAATGAGACGTGAGATGAATGGTGTATGTGTGAGTTATGTTGTCATCAGAACTCTCGTATCCGGAGAAGCAAGTCTGAGTGGGAAGTGATGTTTTGCTCTTAAGCTATGATCGGAGTTTCATAAACACATAAGACACCATGTTGTCGCTCCACACATACCCTTAGGATGAGACCTCCATACAGATCCAGAATGCCAGGTCCTCGAACCCCCCTTTCGGTACTGGAGCCGATGAAACAGCGTCAGCAGTACGACAGACTAGTCTTTGGATTGTCTCCAGGTAAAAAGCGACAGTTGGTTGACAGCATCAGATGGACCCGGAGGGTCAGGGTCAGTGAGTTCAGCTTTTATTCTGAAAGGAACCGTTGCTTGGTTGGTAAAGTGCAACAGATTTTATCCAGCTTGTTGGTTCTTTGCTTAAAAAGGAAGTTCTGGTGGCCGATCCGATGCTTCTTTTAGAATGCGGTGAACTGATCTAAGATGGCGTGGGAACTGGTTTTATTAATCTGGATGTTTTGATTTATGGTCGAATCAAAGTTTGACAGATTTATAAACACCACAGAGACTATGCCACGCTTCAGAAAGGAAGGTTCCGATTGGATGAGTAAAAGCAATGTGTCATGTGTTTACATTACGTGGATCAGGATGCCTAGTGCAGTTAGATTAAAGTCATGTTACTCATTAAAACTTACTCATCATAACATTGTCATTTCACAGATTGGTCGACATCTTATTATTGACTAAAACTTTGTTTGATTATCTTTATTAAAATTAGAAATAGTTCTTTGATTTATTAAAAAGAAAGAGTTTGTCTTCATTAGGGCTGCAACAACGAATCGATAAATTCGATGAAAATCGATTACTAAAAGCGTTGGCAACGAATTGCGTCATCGATTCGTTGTGTCGCACAACTCTTCCAAAAGCGCCCCCCCCCTTCCCGCCCGCCGTTGCGCTCAGACCAGAGCAAGTCAGATCAGCGCGAGGGAGAGCCGCAGATCAGCGCGAGGGAGAGCCGGCAGATCAGCGCGAGGGAGAGCCGCAGATCAGCGCGATGGAGAGCCTGCAGACTTGCGCTGCTGCGAACCGGTTCCGCATTGTCGCGCAGCGATCCAGGCAGCTGCTTCCAGCGCACGGTCCATTCTCAAAGTGGCGCAACCAAAAAACTATAATTAGCACACGATCGTTCATGTCCGCACATGTTCTCTATTTTCTGTCTTATTTGTGCCTGAAGCTCGCTACTGCGGAGCTCATCACCTCTGCTGTGGTGATGTCACCTCACGCAGCATCGAAAACGCGCTCTGCGCTTTTCGGTCAGGAGATCCCTTTGATCTGCTCAAAAGTAACTGATGAGGTGAAAAGGTAAGAATCCAGGCAGCAGATTTTCTGGAGAGTTTAGAGGAGATGCAGGAAGATGAGAGACAGACAGGACAGGAAAATAGTTAAATAAAAACAAGAAAACAAAACAAAGTGTTGAAAAGTCAAATGTAGGTAGATTTATCTCCACGACACGTTTTTACCAGTAAAAAACAATGTTATACACATGTCATATTTATACATCTGATACAATTCAGATCACCTTCAAAACTCAGTCACACACCCAGGGCCGTTTCAAGACATTTTGGGGGCCAAGGCAAAATGCCCCCCCCCCCCCCCCCCATAACTGGGCTCCCCAGAAGCCTCTGTGTAATTCATGCCCTCTCCAGGAGTGTTAGTTATACAGTGTTTATAAAAGCCCCTCAGACATTACTGACATGCTCTAATATTATCAGATGAAAAACTAAATTATCAGACATGCTGTCTCATCTGCTTCTTTTAAAAACTTGCAAAAAGTAACGAAACCATTTGAAAGCCACTATTTGTGGATTCTCTGAAAGTTTCCATGGAGTGTGTGACAACTTATTTTTTCATTGATCCTATCGTCTAATCTCACAGCTGAAACAAGCATCCTTAATAATCTGTGCACAGGAAGCTTACCGATGCTGTAGTAAAACAAAAGGTATAATAATTTATTATTAATAAAACCTTGTTGCAGCACTAAAGCAGAAAAATTAGATTTTGCATTAAATATGCAAAATATTTACATATGAATAGTTTTAGAGCCCTTTAATTGGCAGAATCTGATATTAATTTAGTTCTTACAAAAAATGGGTCCCAACATGGTTTGTGTGGCGTTGCCATAGTGTGACGTCATAGGCACAGATCCCCTGTCCTCTTGTTTGGAAATGGAAATATGGTCACCCTATATTAAACAAACTGTCCACCCGGGCTTTTGCGCTGCACAGAGACGCTTCGCTGCCTACGACTGAACGTCAGTTGAGAGTCAGTCTCATGCAGACTGACCAATGAAGAGAGAGCCTCAAGTTAAGACTCTCTCCTCATTGGTCAGTCCACACGAGGTGGGTCAAAGGTTACCCTGAGCGGGTTACGTGATGTCAGGCATTCAAGTATTGAGTATATTTACTGCATATTACAGTAAAATATTCTGTATGTGACCACATTATGGTGATCCTTGGGTCGTGATGATGGAGCCCTTGAATATTTTTGCCCAGGGTACAACAAAGTGTTAATCTGGCCCTGGTTCCGCCGTCACATTCCCGCAGAAACTGGTTGATCACACCGGGGCCAGACTACTAGCATGTGGTTTTACAACCACAATGTCCTCAGAAGCAAAAACGCTTTTAAAAGGGAGGGAGGAGTCCTAACTGTTGCTGCAGGCGTGTTGTGTGAGAGTGCAGTTATATACTGGTTAATATATTTTTGGGTTCAGTTGCTTTCATGTGGCCTAATGTGAGTCTATTTGAGATCATTGGAATGATCAGCAGCATTTCTTGATGTGACTTTATGGCAGTTGCCCAGGGCATCATCGCAAGGAGGATGGCATTCATTTACTTTTGTTTTATTTGGTATTTTTTCAGTCAGTTTTGGAAATAGTGATCAATTTTGATTAATTCACAGCCTATGTTTAATTACATTTAAAATAAATATTAACAGATGAGATCAAACAAAACAGATGAGAATTGCCCTTAAGCTGTTTAACTTGGACCAAGCATTTTAGATCACAGATAGATGTAGCTTAGGGTCTCTGTCTATACACCTTATAAGACAATTTAGGTGATGGCATGTTGTTTTTCTGCTATTGAACTGTTTTCTAATAATGTTGTGTTAAATAAAGTGAAGGA